CCCTGGGGCTGGATCAGAACCGGCGCCCCCTAGAGGGGAAAGGCCCCGTGTCCCACTCCCCGCTTCCTTGAGACAACCAGTCCCCACCCTGGGGCCGGATGGGAGCCGACGCCCCCTAGAGGGGACAGGCCCCGTGTCTCATTCTCCACCCCCCCTGAGCCAGCCAATCCCCTGCCCTGGGGCCAGATTGGAGCTGGCGCCCCCTAGAGGGGACGCCAGTTTCATCCAACCCTAGTGCGTGTGGAGGGGACCTGGCTGGGGGGGGGTCAGGGGATGGGATTCAGGGCAAGAGCCCACTTGCCACCAAAGCTGACGCTCGGAGCAGAGAAGCCAAGGGAGAGGGGTCTGGAGAATGGGGGAGGGCTGGGGCACCCGGACGATGGGGGACCAGGGTGCACGGACAGTTTGTGGACATGGGCCTCGCCGTGCCAACAGAGCCCCTCAGCCTGCGTCCACCCATCCCCAACGGGGTCGGGACTGCCCCGGGGCGGGAACAGCTCACTGTTCTCCTCTTTGCCCCCAGAGAACGCCCACCACCACCCGAGCCACGGCGCCTGGCAGGAGACGGAGGAGGGCCCCGAGGGGGACGAGCTGAGGAAGCGGGACAAGCCCCTTCAGCAGAGCTCGGCCGCCTCCGAGACAGTGGAGGAGAAGGAGGGCGAGGCCCGGAAGGAGGAGTATGAGAAGACGGAGAAGATCGAGGAGAAGGTGAAAGAGGAGAAGGTCTCGCACGGGGAGGACAGCACCCAGGTGGAGGAGGAGGCCAAGGAGATCTTGGAGGGCGAGGAAGAGGAGGAGGAGAGGAAGAGGAGGCACGCGGAGGTGAGGCGGGCGTCGCCGAAGCTGAGGGAGATCCGGGGCCCCGGGGCCAACAAGAAAACGGGGCCGCCAGCCAAGAGGCACTTCAGCCAAGACGACAGTTCGGAGGAGGAGCCGCCGTACCACCATGGAGGCCGGCACCACGGGGGGCTAGAGGACTGGGAGCAGGAGGAAGAGGAGGTGCAGGAGGAAGAGGAGGAGGAGGAGGAAGAGGAAAAGCGGTCGGGCCCGGCCCGGCGGAAGGGCGGCCCGGCCAAGCGGATGGCCGAGAAGGCCAGCGACGAGGAGACGGCCCAGTTCGAGGCGGAGGAGAAGGGCGTGAAAATCTCCGACTCGCAGAGCCACCTCCACGGGGACGGGCGGCTGTGGAAGGAGGGGGAGGGGCGGTACGGCCACCGCCACGGGCCACCCGGCCACCCGCTGAAGAAGAGGCACCACGAGGATGAGGCGGGGCACCTGAAGAGCAAGCACCATGGCCCCCAGGAGGAGGAGGAAGAAGAGGAGGAGGAAGAGGAAGAAGAGAGGGAGGCCGAGAAGGACAAGGTCAGATCTTAGCCCTTTTCCATGCGCTACATGGGTAGTGATCTTGGGGGTAGCCTCCAGCCTGGGAGCCTGCCAGCTCTCCGGGCTGAGCAGCCGAAAGCCAGGAGGCGGGCAGCTAAACCGCCCTTGTGCCCATGAAAAAAAATCTCCCCCGTGTACCCCCAGCTCCCAGAGCCTTGGGGAGCCCTGGGGGTCCAGGCCTCCGTAGGCAGAAAGGAGCCGGCTGAGAATTTTTCGCTTGAACACCCCAGTTGCCACCCAAGTCTTGTCAGGGGCCCGGGAGGGAATTTGTGGTCCGAACCAGGGGGCGCCCCGCCCTAGCGTCAGTAGCCCGATGGCGAAGGCCATCAGCTGGCGCGGGACAGATCCAGGTTCGAGTCCCTGCTCCCAGTCAAGTTGAGCTCAGTGCTCTGACCCGGGGCTAGTGGCTCTTCTGCGGTGGGGCTCTCCCCCTCCCAAGGTCTCCGTTTCCTCCTCGTGCCGAACCCTGTGAGGTTTCCCACCGAGCTGCGGGGCCGGCTGGGTGGAGAGGAGACGGGGCAGCCCGCGGCATTGCAACCGCATGGGGGTCAGCTGGGCCTCCTTGCTCCGTCCTCCCCCACCCATGGCCGTGTGGAGGATTGGCCCAAACGCCCCTGCGCTCCCAGCGCTGGGCATTGTGGGATAGGTGCCGCGGGGATCCCAGAATGCACCGGGGCAGCCAGAGGTGCAAAGCCCGGGGGGGGGGGGGGGATAAACCAGAGGCCTGGTGGGTGGCTTGGATGTAGTGGCCTGGGGGGTGGTAGGGATGAACCCTGGGGGGGGCCCCCCATCCTCACGGCCCCTCGTGCTTTCTCTCCATCCAGGAACGGGAGCTGGAGAAGCTGGAAGAGATCGAGCACGCGCTGAAGAAGGTGGCGGAGAAGCTGCGGGAGCTGCGGAGAGGGTGACCTCCCCAGTCCCCTTAGGGGAGCGGGGAGCCGTGGGAGGGGGACAAAGGGGCGGCCGCCCCTTTAAGAGTCACCCCCCCGCCCAGGCACCCCCCACACATGTGCTTTCTTTGTATATATCCCTCCTCTCCTCTCCCACTCGGCTGTGGACTGTTATCAAAGCCTCGGAGCTTGTGCTTTTCTACCTGTCCCACCCCCCTCCGTCGGGGACCCAGCGCGACCCGAGGCCAAGGAAAATAACCAACCCGCCAACCGACCCTCCCTACCCCCTCCATGCAGGAAACGTCCCTCCAGAGCAATGGAGGGTGAGAGATATGGGGCTACTCTCTGCCCCCCAGGGCCCGTCGGGGGCAAAGTGGGTGGGAATGTCCCCCTGAGAACTGCCCGCAACTGGTATGGGATAAGGGTGGCTACTTTCTGCCCCCCAGGACCCGTCGGGGGCAGATCAGGGGCGTGGCCAGGGCTCACTGCAGTGTGGCTATTCTCTGCCCCCCCCCCCCGGGTTCCCCTTGTGGTCTCTTGTTTAAAGCTGACCTTCCCCCGGGGCACCGAAGAAGGGATAGAAAGAGGGGACCCTGCGGTGCCAGGATGGGAACCTGCCTGGCTCCCACCCGCCGGGCAAGCCGGACTCTGACTGTTAACACTCAGCCTCGTGGGACCCGGGGGCTCTGCGTGGTCCTCGAAACCTCGGCTTCCCTGAACCCCTCACGTCGCTTTGGGCTCAGGGGTCAGCACTGCCTGCCTCCCAAGGGGTCATTTTCACCAGCAGCCGGACGCGCTCCGTCCATCGGGCCCGGCGGGAGGCCCGGAGGTGGAGGGGAGATGGCGGGAGGCAGCCGCAGGAAAGTGAGGGGCAGGGCGCCTGCACTGGGGGGCGATCAGCTGGAGAAGGTACAGCTGACTTTTCCCCGGCTGGCCTGGCTGATGAGGTCAAGGCCCAGGGCTCTGTGCTTCTGTCCCACCTGGGCTTTCCCACTCCCGTCGGCCCGGTGGGGAGGTGCGGGCGCCGGATCCCACCCCGGCCTGCGCCTCGGCGAAGGGGGCCACTGAGTTCCCCCTGCAGACCAGGGGAGCGAGGTGTGATCCCTGCTGGGCTATAGACAGGAACCCAGCCTCTCCTGGCTCGGGATGTGACCGGGGGAAGGCTGGGTCACTCACACACAGCTCAACACTGTCTCTTGGCACGCACGAAGGCTGGGTTGACCCGAACGTCCCCCCAGCCGTCCCGCCCTCAGAGCCTGGAGACTTCTAGGGGCGTCAGAGAGGAGACAGGACGTGTTCGACCCCAGAATTGTCTGTAAGGGTCTGCTCTGGCCCCCGCAGAATAGAGCCCACGCGGCAGGAACCCACCTCCTGCCGCCCCGTAAGTAAAGGCCTTTGCCGCGGGAGCTTGGCAGGCTGCAGTCGTCCCCTGATCCTCCCTGGAAGGCGACAAACACGGACGCGTCCCGTATGTTGGGCAGGGGACGCAGAGAGAAACCCATTGTATTAGCTGCAGGGGTCTTTCTCTCTCTCTCTCTCTCTCTCTCGCGCACACACACACACACACACACACACCCCCCCCCCCCCCCCCCCATGCAGGGGTAACACAAAGCACTGGTTACGTTCCCTAGCGAGGTCCCTCGGACCTGGCCCCTCCGGCGGCCCCCATCCTCCCAATCCTGGTCTCTCGGGCTTTTCACTTGGGGTTTTTTGCTGATTTCTCTCTCCCCACCCCACCCCCCCATTCAAGCCGGAGGACTCCCTTCCCCCGGCACCTTCCCCATAGGCTGCGAGCGCGTCTCTTGCTGAAGCTATGTAGCTGCTTGGTGGCCTGGTCTATCAGGTGTTGGGGTTTGGGGGGTTTGTTTGGTTTTTTTAAATCCCCGTCCTTGTGTAGCCAGCTCTGTGGAACAATAAAGCACAGTGAAAACCAGCCTACAACCTGCCAGCCCTCCTTCATATCGTGTCAATTTCGACGCCGGGGCTTTCACAGGCGCCTGCTTCGATCATGCGAATGGGAGGGAGCAGCACGTAAAGTTTCAAGGCGGGACAGTGGCAGAACGAGGGTTAAAACAGCCGCTGGAGATGTGGGTTCACGACCCCGCTCTCCCCACAAACTCCCGTATGCCAGGCTGCCCCCTGCCTCGGGTTCCCCAGCAGTACAGTGGAGATACAAACCTTCCCCCGCCTCAGCAGGAAGTTGGCAGGATAAGTACATTGAGGATGGTGAGTTACGCAGATACTGTGTGATGGGGATACCGAAGCTCTGCTTTGGCCACAGGCTTCTTGTGTGACCTTGGACAAGTCCTGGCAGCTCGCGGGGCCTTGGTGTCTGCATCTGTAAAATGGGCATAATGATCCTGCCTTTGTCTATAAGGATTGTGAGTTCTTTGGGACAAGGGCTTGTTTCTTACTGTGCCTCTGAAGTACCCAGGACAACAGGGGCCCTGATCTCGGTCACATTCTGAGCAGCTCCCAGCCTGATGGGGCCCTGATCTCGGTCGGGGTCTGGGCAGCGCCCGGCACGACGGGGCCCTGATCTCCATCGGGGTCTGGGCAGCGCCTGGCACGACGGGGCCCTGATCTCCATCGGGGTCTGTGCAGCGCCTGGCACGACGGGGCCCTGATCTCGGTCGGGGTCTGGGCAGCGCCTGGCACAATAAGGCCCTGATCTTGGTTGGAACCTCGTTACCATGATATAAATAATAATTAAAAGTATCCCAGGGAGACATTAAGAAAATCAGAGCCCCACGGAGCTGCTTAATTAACTGATCGAGCAAGTGACCTAATGCACGCTGTACGCTGGGATCTCTGGCTTCACCACTTCCTCCAGCTGGCTATGGTGTGGGAAAGTAACCAACAGCACACCAGGAAGGAGGTGGAGCCTAAAATGTCTAATTTACATAATTTATGCATGCAAATGAGAGAAATTAGAGGTGAAATTTGCATGATTTCTCCTCACCTGCATGGCCCTCTCCTCCATCCTGGCTATTTTTCATAGCTGCCCCTTTCCACTACTGAGACCCACCAGACAAGGATCGACATTTACTACCCCCTCAAAATAATAATCTCTGCTTTTATTCCCATACGTTATCCTATCAAAATGTAGCCATCAAGATTTACGGGGGCAGTAAGGAGCCTGGAAACTTACAAGCACATGTATATTTCAGTGGGGGCGGAGACAAGGGACTTCAAATTTCGAAGGGGTCCCTGGGATCCGCCACTGATGCAGCCCGTCCCAAAGAGATCGGAGTGAATAACCGATTTTTCAGTTTGCCGACAATTCCAAAACAATGGTAAAAAAAAAAATCATTTTGGGTTAAAAACAAACAATTTTTTTCAAAACTTTGGGCAAATTCAAAAGCTGAAAAATGTCATTTCGGGCTGAAGGAAACGTTTCGATTTGGAACTTTTTTTAATGTTTTGGATTTCCGTTCCTTTTATGTTCAAAACAAGGCTGAGAGGGGAAAAATTGTTCTGACTGAAAAAACTGAGAGGTTTTGTGTCAAAATGACACATTTCAAATTTTTTTCAGCTTTTTTACGTTTCTTTTTAGGGTTTTGTTCCCCAACCAAAACAGCTTGGCAAAAAAATGTTCTGGGGTTACTGAAGCTGCATTTTTCGCCGGAAATACGTTTTTGGTTGAAATTTTTTTACCCACCACTAGTTTCAAGACAAGGCGAGGTTCTCCGCTGGGCACAGAACTGCTGAGGCATGGGAATCACACCCAGAGATCTTTATGTCTCCCCTGGCTGGATACACAACAGATAGACCTCCACCGATCTTCTCTGATACGGTGGCACTCGGTTGCTGGGCTACACGTGAAAGTTATTCCAGATGCAGAGATGGTGTGAATTTAAAGTGGATTGACTATTCCCGATTATTTCCATCCACCCTCTTCATCCGGAGTAAGAATATCTTGTTCCGGGTTAGTTTAATCCATTTCCAAAGTGGATCAAGCTAATTCAGAGCAAGGCGCTTTGCGATGGAGGGGAAGACCTGGAGAGTCAGGAATGAGGAAAAGAGAGTTGAGTGGCCAGATGGGCTGTCAATCGCCCAGAGAGACTAGGGCGGGGCTGTCTTCCCTGCAAAGGATTCTGGGTAGGGAATCCTTCTATAAAACTCCCTGGCTTCTGGCTGGGAGTCAGAGCTGCAGGAAGAAAGGTATCTGGGAGGGACCTCTGGCTGGTATGGAAGCTCTATTGGTTTTTTTTAAATAAATCTTAGTATTATTTTTTAAAAAGCCCTGTGTCTTGCTACTTCACCGGACAGCCTTCCTCCTGCCCTCTGTCCCCGCTCCCCCTTCAGAGTCTGCAATGAAACTTTCCACACGCGGCGTTTGCCCTTTCAGATCCCGCTCTGTGGGGTGCGGAGGCTGAGAGCATCCCGTGGCAAAGGGACAGGCCAGGAAACCCACGGGGGGTTGCAAAACAGAACCAGCCAGTCCCCTGCCTTAACTCAGTGCTGAGACTCCGTTCAAGGAAGGAGAATCTAATAAGCGGGGACTCAATCTCCCCCCCACACACACACACCCCTAGGCCCCAGCATGCAGTACAACCTAACACCCCAAGTCCTTTGGCTGGGACCTGAGTGCGATTTATTCTCCATGGCTCCCATGTTGTCTGCATTTCTGCCATCACCCCCCGGGGGGGGGGGGCAGGAGTGGCTCGGCCACCCCTTTGAGTTTTTGGAACATGCAGCCCCCTTGCTGGTGGATTTGGAACAGTCCAGGGGGAGTCAGTCCTTATCTGCGATGCAGTGCGTTATGAGGGTATGGTTTACTGAGTGCTGGAGGCGAAGAGCCTGGGCTATACAGACCCGTAGTGTCTGGTCTGGTCGGGTCCAAGCAGGGAGGTGCAGTACTGCACTATACGGACCGGTGACCTAAGCTGGATTGGGCCTAGGGCTCTGGTCTGATCCGGACAGGGAGGTAAGAGACTGCACTGTATGGAACACTGCGCTGATCCAAGCAGGGGGGTGCAATACTGGACTATATGGACCTCTGATCTGATCTGGCCCAAGCAGGGAGGTTCACTGCTGCACTTATAGGGACCGGTGATCTGAGCTGGTCCATACAGGAAGGGAGGTGCAATACTGGACTGTATGGACCGGTGGTCTGGTCTGGTCCAAGCAGGGAGGTGCAGTTCTGCACTATATGGACTGATGGGCTGGTCCATACTGCAAGAGACGAGGATGCCACAGTATAAGGCCCAGTGCTCTGATCTCCCAGGGCGAGCCAGGGGAGGGCTCCAGCTGCTGGCTGTTTGGGAATTTTCCCCGCTGGGATAGGTACAACGTCGCTTCTGCTCTCTTTGGACACCCAGCGCTTCCCTGCTCCCTCGGAGAGGCCAGCCGAGCGCAGCACCCCCGTCAGTGCTGGGAGAGCATGGCTGGCAGGACGGCGAAGGTGAAGAAGCTGCTCTCGGCTGGTGCCGACTTGGGCGTCTCGAGGGAATTGGCCAGCCAAGGGGCTCTCGGGTCGGTGTCGTGGGTGCTCTCCTGGGCCGTGTGCACGTGTGGCGCCCGCTGGTGCAGGGAATACTCAGCCACAAGCACCCTGGCCCGTGCCGCCTGCTCATGGCTCTCCAACAGCGTCTCAATGTGGTTCAGGAGGGCGGAGAAGAACTCCGGGACACCTTCGTAACCTGCGGAGGCCACCGAAGAGTCATCCAGGCTGTACCAGGGCGTCCCACAGCCCCTTACAAACACTGCATGTTAAACAGCTGCCCCGCCCTGCCCCAGAGGTGGCTGCATCTTGGTGCTGGGTGAGGGATCCCTGTATAAACAGCTGCCCCGCCCCGCCCCAGAGGTGGCTGCACTTCAATGCTGAGTAAGAGATCTCTGCAGCAAGAGCGGCCGCGCCCTGCCCATTTCTGCTCCCTGCAGCGCAGCGCCCCCTAGTGCTACACCAGGGCATAGGGGCCAGCACTGACTGTGAGGGGAAAAGCGCCCCCTGCTACGCCCCCGTTCCCCCCTCCAGGCTCTCACCTGGGAAGGCGTTGACGTCTATGGCCACGCACCGCCCCGTCTGCTTCTCCACAATCAGATCCACCCCAAACAGAGAGAGCCCCAGGGCGGAGCGCAGGGCCCGCACGGCTCGGCAGACGATGCCGTCGGGGGGCGGGGGGGGCTCCAGCGTAGCCTCATCCAGCTGGCAAAAGAGCAGAGAGCACCATGGGCTGGGGGGGGGGGGGCGCTGGGAGGGACGCCCGGCGCGGTGTCTCCGGGAATGAAGCCGAGGGAGTAAGGCTAATAGCTCTGGGAGATGGACAAACCCCCTCCGCTAGGACAGAACTCGGGGGGGGGGGGGGGAAGCAGCCCCCATTGGGCCCCCCGCGGCACAGCGCCCCCTAGCGCCACACTGGGGCATGGGGGACAGCGCCCCCTAGTGAGCCC